CATCTTGATTGCCCAGCCCCTTTCTCTCCACCCCAACCCTTCGTCCCTTCTCCGTCCTCCTTACCTGCCCATTCACCTGCAGTTGCAGGCCAGGTAAGTCCTCATTTCAGCAGGCCACGTCAGGGACCCGCCGCGCATGACCATACTTACTCGCTCGCAGACAGCAGCGATGGATCAGAAGGCAGGCGAGACTGACGAGGCCTACGAGGCACGATTGACGGCCCTCATAGCCGAAGGCAAGCAACGGGCAGACGTAGCGGCAGCAGCACGGAAGAAGAAAGAAGCAGAGGCAGAGAAACAGCGTCTTCTGGCGGAAGAACAGCGGCAGAAGCACGCGGCAGCAGCAGCCAAGGCCGCTGATGAAGAACGCGTACGGCGACGCGAGATCATATTCAGGGAGGAAAGTGCATTACACGCACAGGCCAAGGATTGGCAGAAGGAGGCCGGGAACGGCGATCCCGTTGACGTCGGGAGCAGAGTATCTCAGCTGCTCAACCGTGTCACGGACCTCCTCGCGACTTGCATCGCGCAACAGGAGGATATCTACTCTCTCGACCACACCAACAAGGCGTTACAGCAGTCGCTGGACCAGACGCTCAAGCACGTTCAACAACTGGAGCAGTGGGTCGCTAACGCCAATGCCAGCGCCGGCCCGTCCGACCTCGCCGACCGCGTCAACGTCTTGGAGATAGACGTGGGGACACTCAAGGCTGGGGCGCAACAGCATGTCTGCGCCGCAGCCAGCTCCAGCACGGCGCCACGCGAGACCATTGTCAAGTTTGACGGGCTCCCGATCTTCTGTGACGCATCGAAGACGGACCCCATACAATGGTGGTGCCAGTTCGAACTCAAGCTGGACCTCCACCACGTCGCCAACGAGAATCGGCATGCATATTTTTACTCCCGCTCGGGAGGCGCATGTCAGGCATGGTTGGACAACATGCTGTCCGCCCATGCATGTACAGTCACCGAGTTGCACAAGTACATCACCTGGGCGGATCTCACGGCGGCATGGAAGAAGCGCTTCCAAGTAGAACCGCCCGAGCACAAGGCGATGGACAAGCTGCTGACATTTTCGCAGAACAGCATGCCAAGCGGAGACTGGATTTCCGAGTTCCAACGCCTCGCAAGCACGCCCAAGCTGCCGCTGAACTTCGACGGCATCAAGCTCTATTTCATCAAGAGGTCGTGCCCGGCGTTGCAGAATGCGTTGACTCATGTCGCCGACAGCCTCACTACAAGCGAGGAACTCTTCAACAAGGCCGCGCAGATCATTGTGACGAACTTGGCAGCCCGGAATACGAGCCCTTCGTCAAATGACGGCCAGGGCGCGCACCAGCATCGGCCTAAAGTGGCCGTGGTCGCAGCGGCAACGACTAGCGACCCTTCTACTTCAAGCGAGGCTGTTTCGTCTGACGAGGGAGACAGACTCGCAGCTGCCCAGAATGGTGGCCGCCCCGCCGAAGGGCGAGGACGCGGCAAGCCGAAGACCAATACCAATACTTCTCGGCCCGGGCAAGCAGCTCCAGCTCAAGGACCTTGGACAGCGTACGGCCTAACGGAGCGCGGGTATCGCGTTCGCACTAAGTACCATTATTGTTTGTGGTGCAATTGTGCGGCCCATGAGACCGCGAACTGCCCCACGAAAGCCAAGGGCCCCGCTCAGTCGGGAAAGTGAGCACCGCCGAGAGTGTTGCAACGACACTCTTGACGCCTTCAGAACCGGTTGCCGATCGGGTAACCTGCCTCGGTTTCGGGGCATCTGCGGACATCGCCAGTCCTCCAATTCTTCATTCTTTCGAGGACTATGCTGCCCGGCTCGTACCTTCGCTGGATTCACGAGCCCAAGGACATGATGTATGTGCGGTCTCTTCTCCGATCGGAAGTAGCAGCATTGATTCGCCTTTAAGTGGACCTTCACGGGATTTGGCGCGCGCGTTCAACATTGAGGACTCGGACCCGTTGACGCCCGAGGATTTTGCATGGCTTCCTCTCCCTTCCACCGGCTGCTTACCGGAGCCGCAATGCGCAGCTCTTCGCACTCATTTACATACATACCTAGCCTTCTATGCACCACCAACTTCGCCTACGGAGGACGAAGTCGCGGTGGGGGACATTCTTGCATATGTAAGCAAGGTGGCCCGCGAGTTTCGCACGCAGCAGTATGACGACAACAACGCACCGCTCCTTTATGTCCGCATCCAAATCGGGCAACCGTCCTGCAGCGCTGTGCTGGATAGCGGCGCGACTTGCAACTCCATTAGCCAGTCCTTCATGCAAAGGGCCGGCCTTGGACCACAAGTTTGAAGGAAGGCACACCCTACGTCGATCAAGTTGGCGGACGGTAGAACGCAACAACTCCTTGATCGATACATCGAAGTCGTCCCGGTTTATTTCGCACCTCATGCATGCGAACCGGTGACGTTTGACGTCTTGGACACGGACTTCGACATCATTTTGGGCATGCCTTGGCTTGCAAGTGCGGATCACACGGTCAACTTCCACCGGCGGACACTTACGGTTCGCGACGCGTTCGGCGCCGAAGTACCATCTACGATTCCTCCTCCGCACCCTTCGATCCGGTGCCAAGTTGTAACCGCCAAATCTTTTCGGGCCACTTGTGCTTACGAGCGGACCGAGGAGATCGGCTTATGTTTTCTTCGAACCGTCGCGGTAGCCGACTCTCAACCTACGGACTTGTCTTCAGACCCCCGGGTGGTGCGGTTGCTTGACGAATTTGCCGACGTCTTCGAGTCACCTACCGGCGTGGTGCCGGATCGGCCAATCTTTCACGAGATCATTCTCGAGGACGGTGCCGTGCCGCCAAAAGGTTGCATTTACCGCATGAGCGAGGAGGAACTTACAGTACTCAGCGCGCAGCTCGACGACTTGTTGGACAAAGGCTGGATCCGACCTAGTAGCTCACCCTATGGTGCGCCAGTTCTCTTCGTTCGGAAGAAGAACAAGGACCTTCGCCTATGCATCGATTACCGCAAGCTCAATGCGCAAACCGTCAAGAACGCGGGACCTCTTCCTCGTATTGACGACCTTCTAGAGCGCTTGGGCGGCGCAAAATTCTTTTCTAAGTCTCGATTCGGCCGCAAGATCGCTACAAGACCTCGTTCAAGACACGGTACGGGCACTTCGAGTGGGTTGTTATGCCTTTTGGACTCACCAACGCCCCGGCGACTTTTCAAGCGGCGATGACAAACGAGTTCTGAGCAATGTTGGACCAGTTCATGCTGGTCTACTTGGACGACATCCTCGTCTATAGCCGGACCTTGGAGGAACATCTTGATCATCTTCGACGAGTGTTGGAGACACTCCGGTGCGCCAAGTTCAAAGCCAACCGCGACAAGTGCGAGTTCGTGCGTCAAGAGTTGGAATACTTGGGCCACTTCGTCACTCCACAAGGCATCAGTCCATTGTCGGACAAGATTCAAGCCGTCCAAGATTGGTCGGAGCCACGGAATGTCACGGATGTCCGATCATTCCTTGGCCTCGCCGGCTACTACCAACGCTTCATCAAAGGCTACTCGAAGATCGCGACTCACTTAACCAAGCTTCAATGCGAGGACCGGCCGTTTGACTTTGGGACGGACGCGCAGGAATCATTCTTGGCCCTCCAGGCCTCATTGCTCTCCGCGGTGGTATTGCGGATATACGACCCGCTATTGCCAACGCGCGTCACCACGGACGCATCCGGCTATGGCATTGGTTTCGTCCTCGAGCAACATGACGGCGTGGATTGGCACCTGGTCGAATATTTCAGCAAGAAAGTGTCGGCCGTGCACTCCATCGATGATGCACGCAAGGAGGAACTTCTCGCCTTCGTCCACACACTCAAGCGATGGCGGCACTTCCTCCTCGGTCGACGCCAGTTCCGATGGGTAACGGACAACAATCCGTTGGTCTTCTACAAGTCTCAAGACACCGTCAACAGCACCATCGCTCGTTGGATGGCCTTCATCGACCAATTCGACTTCTTTCCCAATCACATTCCGGGGAAGTCGAACCGTTTTGCAGATGCCCTTTCGCGGCGTCCGGACCACTGCACCGCGGTCTACTCAACCTTCGAGATCGAGGACGACTTGCGGGACATAGCTTCATCCGCGGCTATCAAGCCGACCCCGAGTTTCGCGACAAGTACGCGAATTGTTCCTCTCCCAATCCGGCGCCCTCGCACTATCGGATCCAAAAGGGATACTTGCTTCTTCATTCGCGGGGGAATAATCTTCTTTGTGTGCCGCAAGATTCACATTTGCGCACCCGGCTTCTTGGCGAGTTCCACGACGCCCCCGCCACCGGACACTTTGGAGTCAATCGCACGATTGGCCGACTACGCGAACGCTTTTGGTGGCCCGGTTTCCTCGATGACGTCACGCGCTATTGCGAGTCATGCGAAGTTTGCCGACGTTGCAAACCTCGCAATCATCGTCCTTATGGCGAACTGCGACCATTGTCGGTCCCCTTGCGCCGAAGGGAAGCAATTGCCGTGGATATCACCGGGCCGTTCCCCAAGCACAAGACGGGCGCCGATGGGATTCTCACGGTGGTTGACCGACTCACCAAGTTCGCCATGTTCTTGCCTTGCCACTACCATGCCAAGGCACCGGAGTTGGCCGAGGTTCTCTACACCGGTTGGATTCGAACCAAGGGTTACCCCAAGGAAATCGTTTGTGACCGCGACACTCGGTTCATGTCCGACTTTTGGTTGGCGCTCATCCAGCGATGGGGCTCTTCCCTCAAGCCAAGTTCAGCTCGCCACCCCCAAACCGATGGTCAAACGGAGAGGGCACATCACACCGCACAGGTCCTTCTTCGCACTCTCATTCGTCCCGACCAAAAGGATTGGGTCGAGCGGCTGCCGGATGTTGAGTTGGCTTACAACTCGTCTATCCATCCGGCTATCGGGATGTCACCGTTCGAGTTTGAGCATGGCTCGCCGGTCAACTCTCAATTGGACACAACCATGCCACGGACGACCGAGAGCGACGACCACCTTCTCTTCATTCGTCGGATGCAAGAGCTTCTTGTCAAGGCACACGATCAGATGTCGAAGACGCAGCAACGTATGCGCCAACAGGCCAACCGCCAGCGTCTTCCTTGTCCATTCCGCGCCGGTGACCTCGTATGGGTTTCCGCTGCGGAATTCAGCCTCGAGCAAGATATCTCTCGCAAGCTCCTTCTGAAATGGATGGGGCCCTGGCCGATCTTGGCACCCGCCGGCGACGCACCCGAAGGCCCTTCGTTTATCATTCGGGTGCCCGAACACTTGCCCGTCAACCCGGTCTTTCACTGTTCCAAGTTGGCTCCCTACACGCCAGCCGAACTTGCCGACTTCCCCGGACGACGATCGCAAGACCTGCCCTCAATGGACGGCTTCCAAGAGATCGGCAACATCATATCCCACCGACGACATGGCAACAAACCGACCGAATTCTTGGTTCACTTTGCATATTGCACGCATAGAGCTGACCGATGGCTGACTCCTGCGGAACTTCAGGCAACAGCGCTCGATGCTCTCGCGCGCTATGAGCAGAAATTGAAAGGCAAGCCGGCACCTTCGGCTCCACGACGCACACGCGTCCAAGTACCGCCTTCGGATCGTCAGCTTCGCCCCCGACCGGCTTGACTTCATAAGGAGGGGGGGGTGTTACATGCTGAGCCTGACACACTGGCCCATTTTTGGGCCCGACGGTTGTTGAGGGCCCCTAGGCCGCGCGCCTATTCCAAGCACGCGACCTGGAGGCCCACGGCCATTGGACAGGCCGTAGGTACAGATTTGAGGCAGCCGTCATTTATTTATTTATTTATTCCTTTGCTTATGTGTGCTGTTGTTTGTCTGTTCTATTTTTGTCTGTTTCAGGTGACGTTTCGGACTTGCAGTTCGTCCGAACAGATCTTCATCCGAACAGATCTACGATCTGTTCGGACCAAGGCCACGTTTTTGGCCTCCTCCATTCGTAGCCAGGCCCTTTTAGGCCAGGTTCGCGTTGTCTGGTAGCAGACACTCCCTGCTGTATCAGCAGGGAGAGCCTGGACGTCCGATAGGGACCCAGGCAGGCCGTTTTTAGGCCAAACCCAGGGACAGGACTTTTTCCTGCGACCTGGACCATGGATCGGACCTACGATCTCACGGCCCAGATCGCAGGTCGAAGGCACAGCACCTCGGCCCAGCACTACTTATAGCTGGGCCAGCTCCTGGGCACGACAGTTCGGGTCGCTTACTTCTGAGCGACATGCTGCTGGTTGGAGACTGCGCTACGGCGCGCTAGGTAGAGGTGTAGGGAGTAGAACGCAGGGGAGATAGGGAGTGGCGGAGGCCATACCTGTGAGCCGCGAGCTTACCTGCGCCATAGCGGGACGCCACRCGGTACCTGCACGCAACAACGGACGACGTCAGTGCGGTGACAGCTACCTGCAGGTGAGATAGCGAGGAGGGCTTCCTCTTCTCTCTCTCTCTCTCTCTCTCTCTCTCTCTCTCTCTCTCTCTCTCTCTCTCTCTCTCTCTCCACCCTCCTTCCTCCTTATCTCTTCTTCTTCGAATCTGAGAGTGTGAGAGGTTATCAGGAGGGATTCAGGCTGGGGTTGTAACGGGCGCACTGCCCAGGATCTGATTCGACATTTCTGAGACAGACATTGTTTGGACATTCGGCAAGAGAYTATTTTGGACTTCGTCATTGCGATCTTGGTCTACTCTCTCGCCTCCTCCCTCTTTCGTCTGTCCCTCCCCCATCTCTCATCCGTGGTTTCTCCCCATGTGTGTGTACGAAGGAGGGACCTTCCTTCCATGATTGCAGTCCCTCCTCTCTCGCCCATGTGTGATGTGTGATGGATGTCGGGCCAGTCCACATCAGATCAGATCTTCTCTTTGAAGTCTTCCGCTGTGCCATTTGCGCCATCTTGTATGTATCGGGATGTACATTGCTTGTTGATGCTGCGCTGATTTGCACTGTCCATTTCAGTCCTTTTCATCACATTGTGGATCCTTGGTATACTGTGCATTGCTCCCCTGAGCATGCGTCACATTCGTCACAGGGTCACCCCCACCTAGTGCTTTGAGATGGATGGGGGTGGGCCAGTGAGTGAGAAAGCTTTTGACATTGGGGATGTCGCTCATCTCTCGCGCTAAGTAGAAAGCTTTTGACATTGGGGATGTCGCTCATCTCTCGCGCTAAGTGGGTAAGCTTGCTGATCCTTCGCAAGTGTCCATTCTTTGATGCTTCATTGTGTTCTCGGGCAATTGCTCTTTCCAATACTCAAGCAGTCCAGGGGGTCCTTTGAGAACTTTTCTTCTTATATGTGTAGGCCAAGTGTCCTCCTTGGGCCACAGATCCATTTACTAATTGCATTCTCTAACAACTTCATCGAGGTAGAGGAACGCCCCTTATCCTCTGGCCGATCTATGTGCAGTCTCCCTCTATCTCATGCATCATATGTCATGTCTTGTTGCTTCCCTATACACCCCTTAGTCTTTCCGGGGCCCCACCCGCACTTTCATGTGACTTGGTGGCCCGCTCGGCCACCCGTTGCCTTCGCAGGCTTTCAACTATTCAGGCCACATTTCCTTTCACAAGCAGGAGAATATGCACAACGACTCATTCATGGGAGAGAGTTACGTTCACAACCATCCAACTTCAGTTGCTTTTCGCCGCCCGACATCTCCGGGCGCTATCCAGTTCAAGGCATCCTACTAGCGGCAATGACCGCTCGCCCTCGTCCACCTTCGGGCACTGGCTGACCACCAGCGAACTTCAACGCACAAGTCACTTGGGCAGCACTTCCACGTAGTCTACCAGATAATGAGTGACTGACTGATCGCTGCCTGTTTATTTACTGTTTCGTTTGATGGTTTGGGCCTGCCGATGTCCCAGGCCCTCAGGATGTGCAGTCCCACTCTGGTACTTGCTGCAAAAAACGGACTGGACTGGGACCGCCCATTCGTTTACGCCTTCGGTGTTTAACTTGGGACTATTGGCCTTTCAGAGATTGGTGGGCTGCCTCCTGAGACTACGGCTGACTGACCTTTCGAGAGATGTAGAGCTAGACCTACGGACTGACCGTAAGACTGCTAATAGACAGGTCTATGGTTCAGGCCCACACTACCCACGAAAACATTTGTACATGTTTTTTAGGGACAGGTCGCGGGTTCAAAACATGCAACGTCAACGGTTTGTACATGTTTTTTAGGGACACGTCGCAGGTTCAAAACCGTCTGTACAGGGGTTAGGGCAGGTCTAGGGATCGAGTCCTGGCATCTGCAATATTGTGCGAACTGGATGAAACCCTTTCAACTGCACTACAACTGATACCCTGGGGTGGGCACCAGCTATTGTCCACATATACATATATCGTCATAGAGAACTGCTTGGTGAACCCTAGGCAGAAAGGACAAGAAATGGGGCCCGTGACAGCCTGTTTCGGCTGAGTTTCGCCGACTCGTCAGGAGGCCGAACCCTATATACATGTGCATATTTTCAAATACCTGATTACTTGTGAAGATTAATGTGCACAGTCAAATACCTGATCCCAAGAGCATTCTGAACAGTTTGCAGAGCCTTGGTATACGGCTTCTCTGATGATCCACTCAACCGTATCGCCTTCTGTCTGTCAAATGGCACCTGCAGCCTGTTCGAGCACACCAAAAATCAGCAAATACTACGAGGATGCAAAATACTCAACAGACAGTCCTAATCTATGTAAAACAAAAATCACAAACTGGCATGCATACATACCCCTCTAAGTCCCGCCAGACGATAAGCAAACCGTTCAGCAGGCTAATAGTCAACAGACAAAACGAAACTATGAAACAAAAATGACAAACAGACATACATATTACATAGTACAGTAACTACTACATATGTTTTCCAAGTCCACTAGCCAATCAGCAAATTCCTTCAGCAGGCACACAGGCAGACAAATCTGTTTTTTTTTTTTTTTTTTTTAAAGCTTCATTATATATTGAGCAGACAAATCTGTGTTAAAAAATACATAAAATAGAACTCACAAACAGACAGATATATGTTCGACGTTCCATCAGCCAATCAGCAGAACACGTAGCAGAGAAACAGTTCAGCAGACAGACAATTGTGTATGGCAGAGATGACAAAGATACCTAAATCTGTACCCGGTCAGTGGGTAAACAGTGCATGTGTAGAACTATTAACCACAAAGAGTTCAAATATGGTCAACACAACCCATGCATAGCACATGACTAGTAAATGCAAGAGAACATAGATAGCTGCCTCTACTCCTCGTCATGTTTGAGGTCAAGCCCCCGCTGGTGCTACCTGTGTGGTGTAACCATGACCTACAGAGTTGTGATGCAGCAATCGATGCATGAGCCAAGGATGTATCCAGCAAGGGGTGAACGCAAAAATGACAGCAGGGTACTCAATGACCATTCACCACCAAAGCAGAGACAAACTCAGACATCATACACATGGAGTGGTTCAGAAGAAGGCAAGTCAGGAAAGCACATACAATGGACACTGAGAGGAGATACTGCATGGATGAACACCTCCTCGGCCAATCGTGCATAGACGGAGCATAGAAGTTGAACGTGAAGAACAAGGAGAAGAGATCGAGAGAAGAGAAACTCAACGAGTCACACCTCCAACACAATGCGGACAAATAGCTCCCAGAATCTCTCTCTCTCTCTCTCTCTCTCTCTCTCTCTCTCTCTCTCTCTCTCTCTCTGTGTGTGTGTGTGTGTGTGTGTGTGTGTGTGTGTGTGTGTGTGTGTGTGAGGCCTCACTTCCTCTCTGACCGTCTTCCTCACTCTTCAGCTATGGTAGCCGGTGCCTGTCGACCGCAGCAGCCCTCCCACAACACCCATTGTCACCCAAGAGTCAAAAAGATGTTAATGCCACAGGCTGTCCAACTTTTGTGTGTGACATTGTGTGGCATTCTGAGCCACACGGGCCCCAGTTAGGGCCCGGTTCCAGACAGGCAGGGTTAGCCTAAGGGACGACGGTTCAGATGAGGCCCAGATGGGCCTGGACCACGGCGGTTCAGGCAGGCCTAGGGTAGAGGCCAGGCCAAACGGCCACAAGGCCGGTACCGGTCCAGCCTAGGACCTACCGGCGGCGTTTCAGAGGCTGCCACATTTAGGCACCAAGTCTAGTTTGAATCTGGACCGTCGATTCAGATCAACGGTCCAGGCCGGTAGGTACCAGCAGGTAGGAGGCCGGCCCAGCACTACAAAAGGCTGGGTACCAGCCTCCGTAGTAAGTTAGTATGACTGGAGGTTAGGCTTCAAGATTAGTGCAGCTGTTCAGCGTTAACTCGATTAGCGCAGCGCTGCAGCACAGCGAGGAGCAGCGAGAGAGCAGGAGTTTAACGGCGAGAGGATTAGCGCAGCACTGGGGCCAGTTACCGGCCCAGCCCCCTTGCAGCGCCATAGCCACTGTGCCAGGTACGAGGGAGGAAGGCTTCGCCTTCGCTCCCTCATCTCCTCCACCGCTCCTCTCTCCTCTCTCTCTCTCTCTCTCTCTCTCTCTCTCTCTCTCTCTCTCTCTCCCCTCCTACCTTCTCAGTCTAAGTCTAATTTTGGGTTCTCCTACGGGACTACTGCAGTATGAAGGATGGTTACGAATTCTGATAACATTGGGAACAGCGACATTGGGACTACGAGTTGAGGACTATTTGGGGATCTGATTTCATCTTCCTTCTCAAGATGTACTTGACATTGTGAGATCGGTATCTGAGATATTGTGAGACTTGGCATTCGCGACATTTCGGATTTTCGTCACTTCTGACAGTTCAAGATACTATGTTTGGAAACATTGAGTTGACGTGATCTTCGATTGTAGTCCGAGTCAGGTCCGAGTCAGTCCAAGGTATCTCAAGTCTTCCGCTTGCATTTGTATTAACTCTGTATTATCTGGTCGGTTCTGGGAATCTGCGCCATGCTTATGACTGTGTTTCACGAGTATGCAACAGTTTGGTATCGGAGCAGACCAGCATTGGATGACTCACAATTAATTGATTGATTGATTGATCGATTGATTGATTGATTGATTGATTGATTGATCGATTAATTGATTGATTGATTGATTGATTATCTATACCTGCTCTCTGTTATCATTAAATCGCAAGTTGCAAAAAAAAAATTCTTTTCTCGTACTCACATAGTAATTAGGTCGTTAAATTCTAATTTTAGGTTTTGCGACTTTTTCTCCATATTGCGCAATTAGGGAATCGCTAATTACGAGTAACCTAATTACCGCTAATTAGGGTTAGTCCTAACCTAATCTAAACGGCCTATCTAACCTATGCGAAGTAAGTGCCAGCCAAGCGCCGCGCCGGTTCAGGCAGATCGGGCCTAAGCACAGCCATATTCGAACTGCAACTTCACGAAACTTTCACTTTTTGCAAACTGCATCTTTTTGCGTTTGAAAGGTTGAATCTTTCCAGCAAATTGTGTATCTTCCTACAACCATTCATCTTCTACTTAACGAGTGACCTCGTGATGATGCTAAATTCTTCCGATGAAAATTTCGTGAAATTATTGAAATTATGTTTAAATGTTTAAACTCTATTCATTGTTATTTGTGCAAATTTAAATATTCTTTAATTAAATATTTAACTTTTGCAAAATTAATTATTGCAATTTTAAATATTATTTAATTAAATATTAAATCTTTTGCCAAATCTATTAATTCGTATTTTCCGATTAAATTTTATTTAATTTCTCAAAATTCGAAATTTCGTCGGGGGGGTGGGAAAATTTTTTTCTGTGATTAGTGTCAGACTTCGAGGTCAGAGGAGAAAGCTACATGCCCAATGTCAAAGCTCTCTCGCGCGATGGCCCACCTCCATCCATCTCAAAGCACTAGGTGGGGGTGACCCTGGGACGAACGGCCCGCGCCCTGAGCATGAGCGTGGGCGGGCCGAGCCAACTGGGACCCGCAGTGGGGTCGACCAAGGCTCGAAAGTCTGTCGGGGTTTGGCCCTACAACGGGAATGAATCTTCAGGGAGAACATGGAAGAATACACGGCCAGGTTCCTTGTCTTCAGTGATCTTTTCTTGTTTTGCCTGAACGTGGATGGAGTGTGCGTCCTCATGCACGCATATTCCCATGAGTTGTCCGTGGCTTTTGATTGGCTTTTCCCCGTTGCTCCTCGATCACATGCGTGTCTGTTTATCTCCTGATTAGTGCGTGCAGAGGAGAGATCCTCATCCACCCTTAGTCAATGCACATCAGGTAGGCGTTATGTCCGCTTGCAAGCATCCATTGAGCTCATATGTGGCCAGACTCCAGGCCTGGTTCGTCCGTGGTATGATCTCAGGAGCGAGCACGCTCGCTGCTGTAAGCATAAAGTGGCAAGATCCGGGTATAGGCAAACGCTTGCAGCGACGTCCTCTCTAACCCATTCACACAAGTTATGAATCTGATTTTCAGACTGTTGTCTTCTCTCTTAAGATCGAATGTAGGTATGGCCACTTCCACTGCTTACCTTTGTCTCTCTCTCTCACATACACCCACATGACCCCTCTCACTATCTCTTCTCTTCGATGCACCTTGTACACACACTCTCGCTCTCTCTCACACACAAATCCCCTGATGCTCACACGTGCGAGCAGCGCAGCGCTCTCTCTTCTTCTCACTTACTCCCTCTCACTCCGGTACTCGCCCGCGCTTGCTCAGTTCCCATACTCACCGAACAAGCAAGTTCGTTGGCTCTATCTGGAATGTACCTGGCTGTTGTTTGAGCCAGGTTCTTGGAATTAATAAAAGACGATCACCGACTCTTCTTTCCCTCTGACTCACGCTCTCTCTTGCTTTCTCTCTCGCTCTCTTTCTCTTCAGTCAGCCTGGCTCTCTTCCCTCTCTCTTTCGCTCTGACTATCGCTCTCACACGCTCGCCCCTCACTTCCTCTCACTCGCACACTCACACGGGCGTCCGCCATGGCTCTCTTCCATGTTGACCGTCCTCCTCGGCGGGAGCAGTGTACCCCTTGGTTGTCGTGGTCTCCTTGGTCGCGATGGTCCCCTTGGTCACAGTCGTCCACCCGAGGCGGACTCCCTCTCAAATCAGGACCCTTGAATGTATAACCGCCCCCTAGCAGCTCCGCATGCCACCAACTGAACTGGGTGGTGCACATGTGTCTTTTGCTCTGACTATCGCTCTCACACGCTCATCCCTCACTTCCTCTCACTCGCACGCTCACACGGGTGTCCGCCGTGGCTCTCTTCCATGTTGACCGTCCTCCTCGGCGGGAGCGGTGTACCCCTTGGTTGTCGTGGTCTCCTTGGTCGCGGTGGTCCCCTTGGTCACAGCCGTTCACCCGAGGCGGACTCTCTCTCCAAATCAAGACCCTTGAATGTATAGCCACCCCCTAGCAGCTCCCCAGACCACCAACTGAACTGGGAGGTGCACGTGTCTATGTGTGCGGCCGGGTCATGTCCAAAGGGACCGGCATAAGCTACAGGCCCGGAAAACAGATTCAGCCCCGGGAGTACAGCCAGACCTCAGGGCTGGTACCCTCAGACCAACAACAGGGCCAACAAAGCGCTAGTACCGGCCTAAGGCAAGGCGCCTCAAAATAAATTTCGTACGAAGCTAGTGCCGACTGGCCTTGAGCCAAAAAGTCTCACGTTATCCACACTGAATCATCAAGG